AAAAAAAAAACACTGGAGAAAAAAATATATTTTTCTTATTGTAGAGCAATCAGTCTCTTAACTCCTAATGCCTTATTCATTATTCTTGGTGACTGGGAGTATTTGTGTTGAAAATTCTGTTTTTGCAAAATGTTATCGGCACTTGGATAACTCTAAGACTACATTTTAAATATTGGATTCTACTATTTTTACTTAATTCTTGGGAGAAAATCATCATTTTAAGCCAGTGTACCTCTTACTTATAACTAACAGTGAAAATAATTTGAAAACTATATGCAGAAGAGAAATCAACTTCACAGTTGATTTCATAAAATCAAAGAACGGTTTGGGTTGGAAGAGTCTCTAAGGTCATCAAGTCTCCACTTCTCTGCCACAGACAGATACAGTTCCTACCAGATCAGGTTGTACAAAACTGTCCTGGAAAGGGTCCTTCAGAGGGACATCTCTCTGTGAGGAAAAGCTGAGTGAATTGGGTCTGTTCAGCCTTGAGAAAAGGAGACTCAGAGGGGATCGGATCAGTGTCTATAAATATCTAAGGTGTGGGAGGCAAAGTGACAGGCCAGACTCTTTTCAGTGGTGCAAGGCAATAGGACAAGGGGGAATGGCAACAAATTGAAGCATAGGAAGTTCTGCACAGATGTGTGTAAGAACTTTTTCACAGTGAGGGTGATGAAACACTGGAACAGGCTGCCCAGAAAGGCTGTGGAGTCTCCTTCTCTGGAGATGTCCAAAACCCACAAGGATGCCTATGTGTGCAACCTGGTCTAGGGAGCCTGCTTTGGCAGGGGGGTTGGACTCGATGATCTCTCAAGGTCTCTTCCAGCCCCTACAATTCTATGATCCTGTGAAAACCTCGTCTAACCTGACCTTGAACACCTCCACTGACTTGGCATGTACAATTTCTCTGGGCAGCCTGTTTCAGTGCCTCATAGGGAACAGTTTCTTCCTAGTATCAAATACAGTCCTAACCTCTTTTAGTCTAAAACCACTACCCTTGTTCGATCACTATGTTCTCTGATAGTAAAGAGACCTTTACCATCTTGTCTGAAGGCTTCCATTACGTACTGGAAGGCTGCTACAAGGCCTTCCTGGAGACTTTTCCAGATTAAACAAGCCCAGCTCTCTCAGCATGTCTTCACAGAAGAGGTGCTCCAGCCCTCTGATGATCTTCGTGTTCCTGCTCTGCACCAGCTCCAGTAGCTACCTGCCCTTGTGCTGGAAACCCAAAGGAGAGTGAAGTGCTGCATGTGGGACCTTGTGAGAATGTAACAGAGGGGAACAGTCAGATCCTTTACCCTGAAGAATGAAGGAGGGACACAAATCAGTGTTTTCGTAGCAGTTCTTAAAAAAGGTATAGATGTTTACTTAAATTATGTTTTTATTTCAAGTGTGTGTATACTAATTCCTTTCTGTGATTTTACTGGAGATCAGTACATTTCCATGGAAGATTATTTATCTCTTTTTTTTTTCTTACTCAGATGATTTTTGGATGCCACTTCTGAAGTGTCCTTGTCAAATAATTCCTTCTCCTGCAGTTTTCAAATCACACAAATGCAAGAAGCTATTAGCATAAATGTTCTTCAGGCAGCTTTGTTTTGATTGATTATACTTCTGATTCTTCTAATCCTGATTTTCTGCTGATAATCTAGCTGAAAATGTAAGAAAATATTCTGGAGTTTCAGGTCTTTCAATAGCAACTAAGGAACTCGCTATGTTTAGAAACAGTCTGAAACACAGCAAGTGAAAGAAATCCAACTTAAAAACATTGCTTAAGAGAAAAATATTCTGCTGCTGATTTCTCAGTGTCACAGTTTCCCTGCAGAGAGAAGTCGGTAAGTGAACAAAACAAGGAAGATAGCACTTAATCACAAGGCAGACAGCACTGACCTTGCCTCAGTCATTAAGTGTGAGGGAGGATTTCTTAATTGTTTGGGGTTTTTTTAATGCATCATTTATTTCTAGCATCTTGTCATCCATCTAACAATTAGAAATCTGTCACATGCAATTGCTGGCCAAATTAGCAGTTACTTCAAGCTGTGTAAGAAAGCACAATTGCAGAGTTGCTGAGGGCTAGATGACAAAAGAAACTTATAAACAAAATAGCTGAAATCAAACATATTCAGTGTGAGCTATGCTTGAGTGTGGAAAAAAATCTAATAGTAACAAAGCTGCTTTCAAGAAGTACTTAATGAAAGAGTTGTATTCATAGATGTATTATCACAAGCCTATTCATATTACTGATTAGCTTATATCCATATCTGATAAATAGATAATGCATGTTTATATACTGCAAATCCTGGTGTTTTGCTGAGGGGCAAGAGAACAAACAGAATTTTGATACATTTGGCACATTTGTTTTCTCATGCCATGAGAGCTTCCAAGAGTATCTGCTTTTTTCATGAAGAGCAACAGTCATTGCTTTTTTCAAATTTTCCTATTGTGTTTATTTAAGGCAAGGCTTATCTGAACTGTTCAATAGCATTAAATATTATTACACTCCAATATTCCATATTGTGTAAACCACTTGTCTTAATTTCTCAAGTTAAACTTTCAACAACATATGAGTTGGACTGAAATGAGAGCTCTGAATGTTGACTGCAAATCCTACCTTTCCTTCCCTCCCACATCAGCACTTCCTTACCTCCCACTTTAAATGATGATTTTCCTGATATCTGTAATGAATAAACCACTGAAGTAAGGCCAAGCAGATATACAGGAACAAAAACTGAATTATTTTTCTTTCACTGTCATTGTGAACCTAAATACAGAAGGTGCTCCAACACAGTTTGGGCTTTGATTATCTGTAGGTGAGGCTCACTCTGAACACATATGAGTTAAGGAGATTGGAGGTGGAGGTGAGAACTGGCATTTTGCTGTTCTCCATATTTTATTTACTTTTTTGAAAAATAAAGAGCTCAATTACAAAATCTGTAATGGAAGAACTTATTCTATATTACGATGGTTGGTAAAGACAGATAATTCTTACTTCTGTGAGAGCTGTGAGCAGTTACTGAAATTTAATTTATTTGAGTGTCTAGATTGTGATTTCTGTGCTAAATTATAGAAAACAAAATCTAAGTAAACCTGTTTAAGTACAGATCAAAATCCAGAGAATAAATCCAGTTTGTCAAATATTCCTTTATGTACTTGTGTCCTCAAAGCACAGGAAAATATCTTAAGAATATCTTAAGAATTAAGATATTTTTATTGGGCCTTTAACCCACATCAGTATATGCAACATCTACTGCAGTACATGGTAGGGATTTCTTCAGTTCAGTCAGAATGTTAGCATATTTAGATAAATCCTCATTTAATTACATAAAAGATTGATTGTAAAACAAAGTCCTGAAATCCTTTTGACAATAGGAGGTCATCAGAGAAAGGATAAAATAAAAAAGTGTTCAAAACCTTTTGGAATTGAAATTGGGTATGGGAAAACATTATAACAAATTATTAATTAAAAAATTCTCCTTCTGAGCAAGACTATGTAAATGTTGCTGTACAGTATTCTACGTCGTTATATTTTAGCTTGTTTTATTCTATATAGGGTAGAATGTGTTAAAAATCAACGCAGAAAAGCCCTGAAGCATTTATCTTTTAAACTCAGTCTTAGAGATAAATCAAAACAGTAGAGCATTAATCTACTGTCTATTAACCCATTAATCTATTTGGTCTAATCAATAGACAAAATTATATAGGCAGTGGATTAAGATAATGTTTTTCTATTTTAAATGTGACATATGATGATTATAATAGTTCCACAAGAAACTGAAAGCACGCAGAAGAAACAAATCATAAGTTTGAGCTGATAATAGAACCAGAAGGCAGAATTTTCCTAAAGGTTTTTGCAGAAAACATTTGCAAAATTTTTTTTTCCTGTTGGAGACAGGTAATTTTCTGGCAATTGTACCAGCATCATTGGCAACACTGAGCTTGTTTCTAACAACAGTAGGTTCTGCTGGGCTGCAGTCCACAATGGTAAGTAGAAGGGAAGAAAGAAAGGGGCTACAATGCAGAGAGAGGCCCAGCTACAAGGCAGTGTGTAACAAATTCAGTTGGAAATTTCAGCACTTTAATATATTTCGGCATTGAAATAATACAGACACATAGTCATGGATATTCATAAAAATTTTGTCAAAAAGTGCAAGGATCCCTAAGCTTTTTAAGCAGGTACAGTAGTTTTGCAGCCAAAGTAAACAGCTGACATCTGAAAGGGAAGGACTGCACAAATAAAAGGAAAAAGGGATGCATGAAAAGGGAACTTACAGTAAGATGAAATTAGGAAAGTTTTGATAAGGTGGCAAAAATTGGTATCATCTCCTGTTAGCTACCATGTCTTCTGCCGAGTTGAACTACTGAACAGCTATTCCAAAATCCTGGCTTATTTTCTAAAGAACATTTTGACTCCACCTGTATAAAGGTTAAGGTTCATTTTCTTACCTGTTGTTTTGCAGTAATGAGTGAAATGTGTCATGCTGAGAAAGAATATGCGTTTGATATTCTTCTATTCAAAAGAAAAGTACTTTTGCCAAAGGCACAAGAGCAACTTAGCACCTGTGTTTAGTTTCATCACATTCATTTAGATCTCTATGCCAGCATGAAGAAGCTCAGTCCTACAGCCTGATGACATCAACGTATTAATTGTAATTCCATTTTATTTCAGAATATGAAGAATTTCCTTTGAGACTACTTATGTTTTTTCTCTGCTTCTTACCTAACATTTAAATAGCTTGAAAGGAACTTTATCCCAGTTGTGAAATGGTCTTAATTTTTTTAGGAAGTTGACTGTGTTTTTGAATGTCCAGTCTTCTAGATCCATATGCAAGTATGGGCCAAGTAGTCTGATATCAGTGTTGCACAGAACTCAGAAAATTTCCTTGCTAATTTGTAAGTGGGAGATGATGTGAACTTTCCTCTAGCATAACTGAAGGACGTGTGTAAGTACCAGGGAAGAGTTAATAAAATCCTCTCCTCTGTCAAAGGAAGCTGTGCCTCAGAGTTTTCGTTTAAGAAGTGAGCAAAAATGAACACAGGAAATCCTGTGTATGAAGCCACTTCAGTTTGAAAAAATCATTCAGCAAAATCATCCATCAAATACTCCACAAGAAGTCAAGGTGGCAAATCGTAAGTAGCAAAATCCTGTGTAAATGAAGAACTGCATAAAAGATAGACAACAGATGGCAAGACGTAATAAAGCTTTTCTAAAATAATTTTACAAAGCTTAGAGATTGCAGATTGTATTGGGGCTCATGGAGATCAGCATAGCTATAATGATGAGAAATAGTGAACCTATAAATTTAGTGTTAATAAAAACTTATTCAGGTAGTAATGGTGAAAAGCGCACGTGGAGAATCCTAGAAAAGTTTAATGATGCTAAATGACTATGCAAGAAGAAAATAGAGCTAAAATTGATAGAACATTAGCTGTTGCCAGTGAGAAATCAGAATGATGAGAGATTTTAGGTAGAATAGGCAGTTTCACTGATGTTTCCTGAGTAACAAACAGAATGTTGAGAAATATATTGAGCTCTTTATGCTCCAGAAGGGACTGCTGAGGTATGACAGAGTTCTGTAACTGGCCAGAGAAAAGTGTGATTCTTTCTTTCCGTACAGGAATGAAACTAATTAACCCTTGAAGATGAATAAATGAAACAAAACCATAGGCAAAAATGGATGTAAAACAAAGGGCATGTGCCTTTATATTGCTAAACTATAAAATTACTTGCTGCCATTAATTTGCTTGGATTCAGACAGTACCAGGAAAAAATATATATATTAAAAAGAATATATTCAGTTCTATCTAGTCCAAAAGTTCTTGGTCAGTAAGCAACAGCATGCTAGACGCTGGAGGAGTACTCAGGGAAACCTGCTATCTTCTTTGATTATTCTATAGGTATTTCCTGTTTTTCAGTGTTTGACATACAAGGCTAAGTGGCCTTTCAGTTTGATCTCATATTCTTGTTTTTATATCCTTGTGAAAACTAGGTATTTCCTGTAATACCAAGGAGAACAGCCACTGAATTTAAACCGAATATATACTTTCTATTTCTCAATTATGATCCTCTCCCTGTTATGATGAGTAAAATGTCACTGTTAAACAGAACAGAAGAGCACTTCTGAGAGAAAGTTGATAATGAGATTAACTTTATTAAACGTTTTTAGGAGTGTTTACACACTTTTCCCTGTAGTGACTTTGTGTTGTCTGCAGATAACCCTCTGTCATTTCAACTAATTTCACTGCAGTGTACTCTGAGGAGGAGCCTGAATAAAGAAAATTATGAGATACAAACATTTGGCAGGTAGGTTTTGTGGGCAGATAGTATGGTTGCTGGTAACAGTTTGGCACTCTGAAATTGGTGCGCTGTGTAGGTGTGCCCCTTTTCATTATGTAGCGGATTAGGTATCTCTTCTTCTAGAGACTGTGACAAGTGTATTCAAACTAGAGAATAAAAGGTGTCACAAAGAGTTTCTCCATGAACACTGTTGAAAGGTGAGCATGTTACTCACCTGAGTTTCACCTAAATCTCATTTGATTCTAGGGTTACAAAACATAGACACATTGGGATGCTTAATAGTCGAGTGAGGCATTTCGCTGTTACAGTTCTTTCAAAAGGACTTAGACAAACAATCAAGAGTCTCATGACCCTAAGGGGGTAGTTTTTGTGATGAATTTTAAGTTTGAATCAAATCACAGAATTACCAAGTTTGGAAAAGACCTCCAAAATCATCTAGTCCAATCATCCACCTAACCACTAATATTTCCCCACTACCCCATGTCCCTTAGTACAACAATAAGTGTTTATTGAACACCTCCAGGGACAACAAATCCAGGCACCTCCCTGGCAGCCCGTTCCAGCACTGACCACTCTTTTGGAAAATAAATTTTTCCTAAAGTCCAACCTGAATCTTCCCTGGCGCAACATGAGTCCAATCCCTCTACTCCTATTGTTAGGGAGAAGAGGCCAATCCCCACCTTTCTACAACACCTTTCAGGTAGTTGAAGTGAGCTTTAAGGTCTCCATGAGTTGCCTCTTCTCCAGGCAAAATAATCCCAATTCCCTCAGTTGCTCCTCATTAGATTTGTGCTCCAGACCCCTATTTGATTTTCTATTTAGGTTTTCTTAGGTTTTCTTAGAAGAGAAAATTCCTATAAAAATAAGTGAAGTAATCAGGAAGTATTCCATTAGTGTTTGAACTATCAATTAATATTTACAAATAACCACCATCAAATGTTTCAATTTGTTGCTTCCTTTTCAGCCATTCTTCACCCTTTTAAGGTCAAAAGAGCTTTTATTTGATGTAAAGTAAATCCTTTTCTTATATGACTGGTAACTTATTTTCCAAATCCTGGTGTTCATTTTCTTTCTAACTCATAGCCAGTAATACTGTCCATAATTTCCACACAAAATTTTCAGGTTTCTGACTACACAGGAATCTGTCTTTCTACAAAGTCATTCTTATTCTTTTAATCTGCACAATAGTTGACTTTCCTAAGAAAGAAAGAAAGGAAGGAAGAAAGGAAGAGAGAAAGGAAGAAAGAAAGAAAAGAAAAGAAAAGAAAAGAAAAGAAAAGAAAAGAAAAGAAA